AAAAAAAAAAATAAATTTTATGAAGAGTTACTCTTTATAAAAAAAAAAACATTGAATGAACATTTTTCGCTTTATATTTTGATGGGTATAGAATGAAGTTTTATGTTTTCTTCTTTTTGATAGACCAAATCTATATTTTCTATATTTATTAGGTACTTTAGCTAAATGAAAGCCAAAAAAAAATATAATTTACCATAACCGGGTGGCAGATCCAATTTTGAGTTGTGGGCAGTATAAGCTGTAGATGGAGTCATCTGAGATACATCTATTGAATTCCTGTTTCTAGCAGACCGTTTACGTCCGGCACTGTCAACTCTTCTTTCTTCAGAAGTCCTTTGTCTCCTCTCTCTTGCACTTGCTCTTGACGCTTGAGCTGAACTAATAGCAGAGTTTTGAGTGTTGATAACACCAATTACATCGCTTGTACTACTACTACCACAACCACTACTACTACCGCCAATATTTTCGGCACCATTATTGACAGCATTTATGTTATTATTATTATTAGTACTATTTACACTAGTGTTCGGTCCGCTAACATTTTCCCCATTGAAACTTAATGCACTTGTATTATTTAAATTATTGGGCGAATTGTAGTTATTGACAGGGTTTGAATTGTTGGAAAAAATTACATTTGTGGGACTGGAAACGTTACTGTTAACAAAAATTGTATTTGTCGATTGACTGGTAAGTTTGGGCACGTTGGTAGGCACGTTACAGCTTTTGTTTGGAGCAGGAATGAAACTATTGGAACGCTGTGATATGTATGGAGGTTTTTGAACATTATTTTCTACAGTAACAATGGGCACTGTCGGTGCAGGTCGCAAAGGCACTACATGCTCCTTTTGAGGACTGATGACTGGTGATGTGGGTGATGTACTTGAACTAGGTCTGCTAGAGGTCACTGAGGTTTGAACTTCCACATTAGTATTATCGTTTTGTTGAACTCTTATCTCATTTACGTTATTATTATCTGGATTGGCATTATTTGTTTGATTATTGATTGAACGTGTGTTACCATTTGTTAAAGAGGTTCTATTTTTACTTGTCATTTGCGGTTTAAGCCATTGAGTGCTTCTGGTCATGTGATTGACATAATAAAGACGACCATTGGCCGTCCTGCGTTCCTCCCATCCGGGAGGCAGATCATCATTTTCATTGGGTGATATGTCGCGATTTGCGGGTCCCCTGAGTTCACCTAAAGGACCTACAACAGCTAACGGAGTGCCGCCGCAAGGCCCATCTCTGGACAGGAGTGATATGATAATTTGTCCCTTAACCGGTTCGTTGTCATCTTGGGATGCTTTACATAAATCCAAACGTTGATCTATAAACAAACAAGGAATATCAAGAACATCAATAGATAAATGCAACATACAATATTTAATAACAGGTTTAGTTATTACTGTTTTTTTATAATTTATGAAATCTAATTTTAAACATTGGAGGTTTCCTACTTATGAACAGTTTGCTATCAATAATAGGTAAAATAGTTTATTATAGATAATAATTTACAATACTAAGTATTCAGAAGAGATACAAGTATTAAATTGTTATACATATTTGCAAATGATTTTTTTTTTAATTGCTCAACACGAACTTTTTAAAAAAGTGTTTACAATTTTTAAACTTTCTCAGACAGTATTATCTGTATACTTTAATTTTGTTTAATTTTTTTTTTGGAAAAATGATTTCTAGAAAAACTAGTTTTATTTCTTTTTTTCTGTATTAATGGAAAAGCTAGAAAGCATAACATATGTAGTTACAATTAGATCCAATACACTCAATGATCTTATAAATATTCATTAATAAAAGTAAAGCAGTAAGTAAAGATATGCCACCTTCATCTTGCAAAATTAAATGTTTCACAATAACAATGCTAAACAATAAACAGAGTGTAAAAGTTTACTAGAAAATCGATTACAACACATGTTACTTCACTATTTTATGGTAACTATAAAAACTTAAGTAGTTTTAAAAGAAATACTTTTTCTTTTGAAGTGTTAGTGCAAATTGATCATTAATTGATATCATTATTAGGAGTAGAAATTTAAGAGAAAGGAAATAACAAAAATAGTATATTAATTGCAAGTCTATAGTAGAAAATTTAGAAAACTTAATTAATGTAGCAAAGGATTATTTTGGAGACTGATATACATCAACATATATGTACACTTCTTGAAGTAATTAATTAACAGCATATGATTATCTTAGAATAATAAATTTAGAACTTTATAGTAAAAAAACAATGAAAATAATTACTCACATCCGGTATCTTTTAACCTCTGAATAAGAGAGTTGACAAGTCGAACACAGCCTAAAAAGCCCCCTCCTTGCTTTTTATGAATCTTGCGATGATTCCAAACTGAAATTGTAATGTTATCAGTTTTTCCTATGTACAGATCATAATGGGAATTCCATTTTGGATCCAATGTATTTTTAATAGTTTCTGTTGAATGGCATTGACCACTTCCATCAACTGATATTTTAGCGAAAGGGTCTGGCAGTCCTACAATAAAAAATGGTTAAATAAAAAGTGCTCATAACTTCATCAGCATTTTAATTTAAAAAGGGGAGAACACTCACTGAACAAGTCTTTCCGGACTAGATTGCGGGCACAAAGAACTGTAATAAATAGGCTTTAATTAATGTAATTATAATATAAATTAGTACGTTTGGGAGACACCCCACGGAGGTCATTTCTTAATACGGAAAATATAGTTAAATAGTAAAATAATTCAAATAAACCAATAATGATACTTGAGCTCACTCACTTGTTAATCGAATTTTTTGTGCCCCATTTCTTCTACCCGCGGGGTTGCTAGACATTTTGCAATTGTTTGAATGTCAACACATCACTGCATTCCAGTTATGCGACGCCATGTTTACTGCAATTGTCATTTGTCAACCTGCATATTGACCTGCATCGTGTTCTTCCCCTTCTCTTTTCTCATATTATAATAGCTACGTTCTAATTTTCATTGTTGTAGTAGATTCGTTCTATAAACTCCTCGTAACTGAACTTTTTTTTGTGTGAATTCGTAATTAACTAAATGTATTTCTGAATTAAATTTCCGTTAATTACTTATTATCTATAGGTTTGGTTTTATTTACCCATATATTTAAACATTTGCAATAAAAATAATGTAGATATATTTCAAAAATTAACATTTTTAATATAATACAATTATAAAAATATAGACGCATCATTGTAAATTATAATTGATAATATGCAAATAAAATTTATAAAATTCTTGAAATAAACTTTCACATTATAGGTATTATAGGGAATAAACCTTTTAATCCTAATTTTTCTCAGCTTGTAATTTTGCTAAACGCGTCCTTAACTCCGATATAGTTCTCATATCTTTCTCTTTTTCTATCAACGCTTGCGTTTGCTGACTGTCCAACAACACTCGGTATCGTTCCTCTAAATCTGTTATTAATGAATCTATTTCAGTTTTATTTATACAAGTTGAATTTTTTATCAATTCTGTGCGCTGTTTTGTCAGCCGGATCTAAAATGAATAAGTGAAATGGTTTATGGTGCCTACATTTAATAACTCATTGCCTTCAGTATCTACAGTGTGTCTAAATAAATTGCAATTTCCCTTTTTTGCGTTTTTGTTTAACTGCGAGTATATATTTATGCAATTTTGTATCCTATTCATAGCATACACTGCTAAAATTTAAAAGTTTCATTCTGTATTTAGCGTTCAGATTTTAAAATTAAGGCAATTATGAGTAATCTAATTTTATTATTATATTATAGGTGAAATTTTCAGCTAGTTTGACTTGCTTGACTATAGGTAAAAAAACTTTTTTTTTGCAATACTTACTCGAAAACTATTTTGAACCTTAAATTTAAACGTTTGAGATCTACAGTTACTTCCCTTATAAGTACTTTTTTTTTGGTAATTTTTAGAACACGTTTTATAGAAATACTCTGTGGGATTTTTTCAATAAATTATTCAATATTGAGATTTAGAGATCTGGTAAACATTATAACACGCAAAATTATTAAAAAAAATCCATTGAAAATGACCATGAATAGGCATAACAGAATTCAGAGGTAAAATTTTTTCAAGAATTGCACAAAATCTTCGTCATAACTTTTTGTTTACTTTCTCTCTTGTCCTTTTCTTTTTGTTAAAATAATGAATTGAAATTTGATCACTCCTATCGATAATCCGATTTGTATTTTAAATTTAACTACTTTATTTTTGAATATTTACCCAATATATTATCCTTTAGGTAGAGAAAAAAACAGTTGCAATTCCACCAAGACTTACCTCAAAAGTTCTATTTTTAATTGCAAGTTCATTTTTTAAAGATGCAACTTGCTTCGCATAGTCTCTTTGAGACTTCTTGAATAGTTTTTCCATTTTAAAAATACATTTTTGTAAAAATAAAATTTTGTCAAGACTATCGCCATTAACCAAATGAGCATTCCGCTCCATCTGATTTCTAATTAATTTAACTTCCTTTTGCATTCTAAAAAATATCTAATATAAGTAGGATTTTTATTCATACAAATCAACAATATCAACAGCGGTATATTTTAAATGTTGTAATTGATATGGAAACCTAAAGATTAGTTACCTTTTTTTGGAACTTTTAATGACGACTTTTAATGCCTTGAAGGAATACCAAATTGTTTGTAATTACATAAGTAATTAGTTAATTAAATAAAATAAGGCGTCAGTTTATCACTATGAGCACAATAACTTATTATTATAAACATCATTAAACACTTACCTTAAACATTGTTCCTGTATCATAGTATCTAAACGGATTATCTCTGCGTCTTTTAATTCTAATTCCTTTTGAAAATTTTCTTTTAATTCAGCTTCATTCGAATCATATTCTGTCCTCATTTCTTCAATTCTATCTTTGCATTCCTGATCTTTCAAAAATATTTTCTTCGAAAAAGAATTATCTAATTCTTTCAAGTGTAACGAATGACTATTTCTCAAGCTTTCAATTTCTTTCTTGTGCGTTTCGGTAAGTTTTTCTTTTAGATCCAAAAGTTCCTAAACATTAAATACAAATAGTGCGTTTTAGAAAATACTACGAATGGCGCAGTAAACGCCATCTGTAGAGATCTGGTGTTATAGGAGGATGTTAAAAATACCGTGGATAGGAAAAGTTAGAAATAAGGAGGTACTAGATAGAGCAGGAGAACAAGAAGCGTTATAGAAATAGGAGAAATAGGTTGGCAGGATACCCTCTCAGGCTTGAAGGGCTAGTTTATGTTTTTATTGTATTTAGATACTTTTTAAATATACAACTATTTAGAATAACGTACTTTCTCTTTTGCATTATCCATTTCTTCGATTTTTAACTTTAATTTTTCTATAGTGTCTTTCAATTCTTCGTTTTTGTTTAAAACCGATTCATACTTAGATTTTAAGGCAATTATGGAATGTTTCCATTTGGATGCCTTATCAATGTCGCCTCTCCTTGTCATGCCTCTAGACGATGATAATTCCTACAGTGATATAGTAATATGAACATCAAAATGATCTTTTAATATGTTTTTGTTAATTCGGTAAACAATTATGAATTGGTACACATTATATGTACTCACCCGCAATCTTTCTTTTAAAGAAGTTACTTCAGTAGAAAGATTATGAATACTTGTCTCAGCTTTTTTATTTTCTGAAAATGAAAACGCGCACGACTAATAACTTTTAAATTAGAATTCCAAGTAATATGTATTAATATAATTCAAACTTCGACGGGGTATCAGGCGTTTTGATTCCCCGACAAAATATTCCTAAGACAAAATATGAATTACCTATTCTCAGAATATGTTATATTTTATTTAATAAATTTATGTATTTTCTCTTAATTTGTTGCAGTTTTTTATTTAGTTAGTGGAATATTTCGTTGTCGGGGGATCAAATATCATGGAACCCTTAGACAGTGCCGGTGCAGCAATTTTCCTTTAATATATAAAAGAAATTATGAGTGCTGTCACCACAGGCCAAAGTAGTATTACGTAGTTACTATCAGCAATTTCTTATGCTGAAGTGTACGATGTGTTGCATACCTATTTACAAACAATTCCTTTAAATTTAATTTTTCAAACAATTTTTAATACAAAGAAAGTGATTAAACAAATTGTTCACAAAAGTGAATTTCGACNGTTTCTTTCTAGTTTTTCTATGTCGTCAACATCACTTAGTTTTTCCAACCAAATGCGATACATCATTAAGTAGTGGTTATTAGTAACGCATGGTATAAATGGCTTAATGATGGCCAATATTTTTCGAAACTCTCCATCTAACACCTTTTTATCTGACGCAGCATTCATCTTACTCAATGTATAAGTCAAAAAAAATAGCACAAAGAAATAAGATGCGAGCAGAATAACTTGACAGCAATTGTCAGTAACACCAGAATTTGAAAAATGCATTAAGATCTTTAAAACGCGAACCCATAAAAACTGTTGACTTTCTACATCTATACCTAAACTTAAAATAACATGTAAGTTTAATATTTCCGGTTCTACTTTTATTATGAATTGAAATAATGGAAAACTCACTCATTTTTATTTGATTCTCGTAATTTTCAACCTGCTCATGCAGAATGGCGTTTTCATGTTTCAGAGAATTAATAATTTCGTTCATGTCAGAAATTCTGTTTTCGTAGATTTGCGTTACATTTTCTTTGAGTTCAGAATCATGTACCTGATTATAATGAGACTTTAGGGCAAGTTTTAGATTATTTTGGGTGTCTCCTGCCCCATCACCAGATCCAATTTTTGCAGTACAAGAAGTACCTTCGCTTAAATCACACCATGAACTTTCTTCATTTTCAGCCATCATCTGAAGATGCTGGTTCTCCATTGGAAAATTTTGTAATACGTGTTGTTGTCTGGGGGAACATCTTTGTTCACAATTTTCGATGTATTCATTTAAGAAATTGCAATTTTGATTTTGAGGTGATGCTTCCTCGTTTATTTGATACTTTTCTATCAATTTTTCAATTTCATTAGATCTAATAACTGCATATTCTTCACATGATGTGATATTGGTGTTATCATAAGAGGAATTCATAAGAGGTACTGGTTGGTGGAAATATTGATTAACAGGATATTCTCTGTAAAATGTTTGGTTTTGGACTTGGACTGCAGTATCTTCAATACTCTTTATTGATGAATAATTCTGTTCTTCCGGCACAGATTCTAAATTAAAATTTACAGTGGTTTGAGGCTTAGTGTGTACCTCCTTTTGAACTACATATATTGACTTTTGCTTGTGATGACCATGGTGATAATTCCTGTTGATTAATTTAGAAGAAGAAAGTTTCATAGATAATTTAGCTTTCCTTTTCTTTGAATTGCCGCTTCTTTTTAATGCGTTTGTTTTGTTGTTTTGCAAATATTCTTTTATCATCTCATCATGGTTAACATTTAAACTTTCCTCGTGTGATTTAAAGGTGTTCTCGTTATTTGTAACCATTGATTTAATATCACTATTAATTTGGTTAGTGTTGCTGGATATTTCTTCCAATTTATTTAGTTGATTTTCAATCTGACAATTATTATCAAATGTTAAAGTGAAATTGTCGTCGGCATTTGAACAGCGAGTCAGGGTCTGAAACTGTGGAGGAGACTAACAATAAGTTATAGGTATATAAACGAAAGAAGCACCGGAGAAATGCGAAATTGATTCCGAATGTTCCTTAAACCTTTTCAATAATTTATTTAATCCATTGCTTTAAAATAAATAGTATAATTTTATTTTGATCCATAATTTTCGAAAAAATAGGAACAAAGCAATATACTTTTTATTATTTATTTACTTGTAACGTTTGCGAAACTGTATGCGTGGATCATTTTAGAGTTTTGAGTAAGTAAAGGGAAGAATGATATATTTTTTTGTATAGATCAAATAAAAAAAAATGTGCAACAATATGTTAAACTCGAGCCCTTGAATATGATACCCCAGACTTCTGTAAATTACATTTAAATTTTGTTCTCACACTTTTTAAATCCAATTTGTAATAAAAAAATTGGCTGGTGTTCAGAAAAGAGACCCCGGAAGAATTGATTTCAAATTTTTATGACACACTCCTTTACCGACTAGTTGATGATACCTAAAAGTATTTTTGGCGACTCGAACTGGAAAGGGTAATAATGCACTGTAGATTAAAACTACATTGAATGTCTTTAAGGAGTTTCCTTTCCACAAATGTATTGTCAAGCCACCATCGCGGAACAAAAAAGATTTTTTTAACCCCTTCTAGTTCGAATCGTCAAAAATACTTTCAACTATCATCATCTAGTCTATAAAGAAGTGTGTTAATTTGAAGTCAATCGGAGGGTGCCCTTTTTTGGAACTTCAGCAAAAAGATTATAAACTTTCCGTTAAAGTTGATTCTGTAATTGTCGAGAGCAATAGTAATTGTCAAGGAGTACAGAGTCAGATTGGTTTCCTTAAGGTTGCTTTTCAGGGAATCGTAAATATTAATAAGTGATACAGTTTTTTACTAGGAACATGTCTATATCAAGCAACAAACCTTAGCGAACTGCAGCATTTTGTCAAAAGGAAGTAGAATTCCATCGAAAGGCATTTCAGTAAAAGGTTCTTCTAAGACACCTGCTTGTATTTGACTGCACAATTCAGTCAAATATCTGTTTCTTTCTAGTTTTTCTATGTCGTCAACATCACTTAGTTTTTCCAACCAAATGCGATACATCATTAAGTAGTGGTTATTAGTAACGCATGGTATAAATGGCTTAATGATGGCCAATATTTTTCGAAACTCTCCATCTAACACCTTTTTATCTGACGCAGCATTCATCTTACTCAATGTATAAGTCAAAAAAAATAGCACAAAGAAATAAGATGCGAGCAGAATAACTTGACAGCAATTGTCAGTAACACCAGAATTTGAAAAATGCATTAAGATCTTTAAAACGCGAACCCATAAAAACTGTTGACTTTCTACATCTATACCTAAACTTAAAATAACATGTAAGTTTAATATTTCCGGTTCTATAATTTAACGTTTTGTCAGTGTCATATTTTTCTAATTTGCAAAAGTGGTAGATTAATTTTACAGCTATGAATTGAAATAAATTCACTCATTCGCTTATCAATTAAATTGTATTCTTTTTTTAGAATTGAAGTTTGAGTATTCTTTAATGTCGAAACAAAGTACATAATTTATTATAAATGGTAAGTCAACGTGTATCTTCGGGAATATTCATACAATATAGCAGCATTTTTAAGTAAATCCAAAAATAAACTTTTCACAAATATTTATTCACTATATCTATATCACTATAGTATCACCAGGTACACTGTAAGTTTTTTTTTTAAGTGAGTATATGCAAGCTACATGTAGAGAAACTGTACTAGTGATCAATAAATATTTGTGGAAGTTTCATTTGTGTATTTACTTAAAAATAGATTAGAACTTCATCAAGTAAAAGCCAATTCAATTACTTATTTAAAGTAAGAAAGTTTTTCTTTTTTATGGTATTGAAAGTGGGGATTAGTACCTGTCCATCCAGTGACATAAACAGGGAGGGGGGCGTTCGCGGTGATTCGAGGGAATCGCTTAGTATAAAATAAAAATATTCCACTTCTCTTCAGATATACCTTATTTATATAAAACAAACAATTAGAAAAGTGCTATTTATTTATCATTTTTATTTCTGATTTTTTATAAAAAAATAAATTGTAATATCACAATAATTATATAGGACAATTAAATGTGGCCACTAATAGTTTTTACAAGTTGAATCTCTTATGACCTCTAATTCTACAGCCTATGGATAACTGTGTTTCACATTCACACTTTAGTTGTCGAAGGTGTTGCTTCATTGGTATAATTAATGTTCCAACCAATTCTTCTATTGTGTGAGTGAAGAAATACTGTTCCAAATGGTCCTTCATATAGTTCTCTAAGGACGTTATTTCAATATGTAAGCTAAAAAGTAAAACAAAATTGACTTATACAACAAAAGTTGAAATTTGCTATTGTGACATCAATATCAAAGGCCATTATAATACTGGGAAATCAAGAAGTTTATACACAAGCTGCTCATATTACAAGTGTTTTTTGCAAGTTTATACAAATGAAGCTGTGGTTGTAAAAACGTTATATAAAAACAGATAATTATACTTACTCAGTTAATACTGGCAGAATACTTTCAAGCTGCATAGGATTCGTGTAATTATTTAATACTTGCCATTGATTGAACCAAGTATTTACTCTGAAAAATTGAATAAAACATTATCCCTATCGAATAAAATAATTATAACTGGTCTGTATTCTGTCGAAACTGCCAGACACGGATCGCGATTTCGATCTTTTTGGATCTCATCAGCGCGTCGCAGACAGCTCCGACAGAACACAGACCAACTTTTACCTGCTGTCTTAACAGCGCGTTTTTAGAAAATACCACAAATGGCGCGGTAAACGCCATCTGTAGTACGATGCTACATTTTAGTATTACGTATCCAAAAAGGTCCATTTAAATATATCTAAAAACGCGCTGTTAAAACAGCAGGTAAAAATTGGTCTGTGTTCTGTCAGAGCTTTCTGCGACGCGCTGATGAGATCCAAAAAGATCGAAATCGCGATCCGCGTCTGGCAGTTTCGACAGAATACAGACCAGTTCGAATTATTTTATTCGATTATGGTAACGTGCCTATCACGTTGAGGTTAGCTACGCCGGGATTCGTTTCAGCAAGTAGATATCCATATATTTGTTGGAGCATACGTAATCCTAAAATGTAGCATCGTACTACAGATGGCGTTTACCGCGCTTTTTGTGGTATTTTCTATTATCCCTATTCATTTACTTTGGATTCATAAAAAAGAACTTACTGGTCACTATCGATTGCGTTTTTGTACTTTGCTCGAATGTTAGCAAACCATTCAAAACCAAGAAATATTTCCCACCCTGGAAAATTCAAACCGGGAGCAACAGGACAAGGACGAATAGGGACATCCATATGTAAAGGAATGTCTGTGTACCCTAACATTTTTTCTACAGAACTAAAAAAATATGCTTTCTAAAATGGAACATCAATATTACTTTTAACAGTATTTACCTGTGAATGTTTGTGTTAAAACCGCCATTCAACCAAGTCTTTAGACATAAACAGAGGGACGGAATAGAACATGGCAACAGCTCGCACAGAGTGGCATAGTGGTCAAACCTATCATTAATCGAAAATGTTTACTTAACAAATTTTTTTTAAAAATTAAAGTAATTAACTAAGTAATATGTGCCAATTAAACGTGATTTTAATAGATATCAGCTGAGCCATATAAAATACTACTCTTAATTGGTGTACATTTTTACCTTGACCACCCAGTGAATGCAAGCCCCCTGAAATTAACAATTTTACTTCCATGATTTGATATCTCAGACAACCAAGCATCGTGATTGCTGACATGATGTTTATTTATCGGGAGAATTTGACAGCTACTTGTTGCCCCCTTAAAAGCACTAGCGGCCCAGATGTTACTGAATATGTTACTATACTTTTCCCATAATTCGCCTCCCAAATGAAACGTGTCAGAAGCGTTATAATGCCATACCATTGGTTCAACAAGATTTCCTATGTAGTAGTCTAGGATAAAATGATTAAATTTAAAACAATTGGGAAAATCTGAACAATTAATTTAGGCTTCTTTAGAAGTGCGCAGGACCAAGCTCGTAAAAAAGAGCAGCTTACCTCTATTTCATATGTATGGTATTGGTGGGACTTGAGTTTACCTTGTAAAACATTGAGATCGATGTTTCTAAGCATATCGTCCCAGATGATAACTTTTAAATTAGGGTAGTTGTCCTTAATATATTGCACCACATCTACTACATGCTCCAAGTATAATCCAGATTTCCCATGTTTATTTGTTTGAGCTCTTTTTGCACAAACAGAACATAATCCTAAATGCCACACCTACAAAAAATAACATACATGACAAGTAAAAATACTTTTCGTTTTGTACCAGCATATATTATAATTTATACCAAATATCAAAACGATTTCTTTCAAATATATCATATTAATTAATGGTGATATTCAAAAAGAATTGTGTTTTACCCTCAAAAATTAGTGATCTCAAAAGGGGCCATCACAACAGCTTTTACCTCGTCACAATAATTAAAGCGTCTTCCATGGATTCTTTCTTCAGAATGCTGAATAAAATATAATCATTGGTGATTTTATTTGGACTAAATGATATGTAAAATTTTAGAAACACCATTATGAATGTGACGGTAAAAAGATAAAAGCTATGGTGAATATTTTTAAATTTCTTAAGATGACAATAGAGTGGAAGTGTAGTCTTAAAACTATATTGAATGTATGTACTTTTCTCATTCTCTTTTAAAGTCTTCTGATATTGCAATTTCTAAATGTTCGTTATTCTGATTTAATTATTAAAATAATATAAAAGTGAATCAAACAATTAATGAAGAATTAATTAAACTGAAAATACTATTATGATATAGTTATTTTTACAACTTAATGTTTATTTTAAATACCATGAGCTTTCTTTTTAGCTGTATAAACGTTTTTTCATTGAGGATTTGATTTTTATTTACCTCGTCAGCTCCAATATGCAAATATTGAATGTTGTTATGGAAAGCAACAATTTGTTTAATCATGCTTCGTATTAATGGCATTGTCTCACCATTACTGGGACAAATTGAACTTGGATATGATTCAACTTCTCTTAAACCACGCCACTGTTCATGTTTTAAAACATACTCTAAATGCCCAAATGTTTGTAATAATGGAATCACTCTTAGGTCACAGTCAGCAGCTTTAAAATGTAGCAATATTTTTTTATATAAATTAGCTATGCTTAAAGTTATTTTTTAGATAATTTTACCTAATTCTAGTAAATGTTTTGCTTCTTCCAATGTGTAAGGTGCCCCACTGGCTTGAGCACTGTGTGACAGACCACCAATAGGAAGCAATTCTCGAGTAAAGGGAAAAGTGTCCTCCCATTCTAAAAGAATTCCTGTAGCACCGATTTCTTTAATAAACGGAAGGAACTGAAAATAAATTATATNTTTGTTACATATTACCTTCATAAAAAGCTACGTTTTTGTTATTTTTTATTGTAATAATGTATGATTATTTTTTATTCAATATGAAATATATGTTTGAGAAACTCATTTAAATATTCCAAAAAGAAATGTGTATATTTACAAAAAAAATCTGAGGATTGTTGTAGGTAATTTCATAATATGCAGTTTGTAGTTAATAAAATGAAAATGTAAATAGTAAATGACATAACTTCTGCAATTTGTAAACAAATCATTGTGATTATTTATGTAAATGTAGGTCACTTTTATCAAGTCCAAATTATTACCTTTTCCAAATAACTTATTTTGGGAGGTGCACCTTTTAAGTCTAAATGTACTAATCTGTAATAGATAATATTAAATTAATTTTACGCAAATTATAACAATGCCATTAAAATATTTATAAAAACGAATAAGTATTACCGTTGAGTTCCAAACGCCAAGGTATCCATTTTGGTCTGTTAAACTTTTTCAAAATAAATTATAAAGCTGTAAATTATATTGTTTTGAAGATATGTATGAGTTTATCAACATTATAAATATTGTAACAGTTTGGTCAATTTCAACATTTCAACTACTTTTTCAATATAAACATTTGTATCGTACCTATAATAGATGTCAGAAACATCAAAGATTAGGTTATATTATGCATTCGACTCATTGTCAATTCCTGCCTTGTAAAAAACTACTATTTGAGAGTGCAGCTTCCTTGGATAATTTTTGTTTGCAATTAAATTTATAACAATTGCATTTATATTAGATGTCCATTTGCTATTTTTTTATTGGTTGACAACATTGGTTGACAATTGAAAAGGTAAACAGCTGATTATTAACGATTCAAAAAATCAACGACAATTTTGCATACTTCTATCTCGCTTTGGAGTTTGTACAGAACGAGATAAAAAACGGGGACGTATGTAATTGGAAGAAATAATATTAAACACGACATTCCTGTTGTGAGTTAAAATTGCCACGATGGCGAATAATGTTAATTTGACGATTAAAGATAGAAATGGAGTAATAAATGAAAAAACAATTATGGAAATTCAAAAAGAAACTGCTGGCAAAACTCTTACCAAAAACGTGAGTTTTTTGGCTATTATTTTGTAGTAATAATTTCATTAAAGGTGTTTTAAAAATGGTAACATTGTAACATTTTATAAGTATTTATTAGTGGTACCTATTTTCATTAAACTAAAAGTATTCCTTTTTAGCCCTCATTAGGGGAAATTGCTATTGATGCTTCAGAAATTGTTAGTCGGTTGGAAAAAATTACAGAAGGTAATCACACAAGTAATGGAACACCTCAGCAAAGTGTCCTTTTGGGTCCAGATCAGAAGAGAAGTGACGAGATTATGCAAATAATTGAAGGGTTATTGAGTACTGATGAAGATGGAGAATCAAGTATATTACCTGTGTTAGATGAAACAGCCAAATTGGTAACATCAACATATAGTCTTATGGCCTATTTTGGAAGTTTAGAAAGGCCTGTGCTTCAAAAACTAAGCACTCAATTTACTGCAGACACTACAAGATGGTTAAGTCATATATTTGGGCAAGTATTCTTTAGTTTTCTTACATTTATCCAAATTTTCAAGGTTGCACCTATCGTGTTCTAATCATCAATGATATATTTATTTATTATTACCAATGATTTGCCTTTGTCTGTGAAATTGGTATTTCCATTGAATTTTAACATTAAATAGCAATCTGCATTTATGTGGAGCTGCTTATGAAACCAAAAAATGAGATAATTGTAACTGTGTGTATCATTCAGTCAGTCGTGGGACTTGAGTTTACCTTGTAAAACATTGAGATCGATGTTTCTAAGCATATCGTCCCAGATGATAACTTTTAAATTAGGGTAGTTGTCCTTAATATATTGCACCACATCTACTACATGCTCCAAGTATAATCCAGATTTCCCATGTTTATTTGTTTGAGCTCTTTTTGCACAAACAGAACATAATCCTAAATGCCACACCTACAAAAAATAACATACATGACAAGTAAAAATACTTTTCGTTTTGTACCAGCATATATTATAATTTATACCAAATATCAAAACGATTTCTTTCAAATATATCATATTAATTAATGGTGATATTCAAAAAGAATTGTGTTTTACCCTCAAAAATTAGTGANTTTTTTTTTAATTATTTTGTTTTTTTTCTTGTTGTTAGTATTACGTGTAGTTACTTAACAAACCTCAAAATCATTAACATTTGAAAATGGTAAATTAGTATTACCTATTCATAGCTATTTTAAATTATTTAGCTTCTAGTAAGTGGTTTACTTGAGTGCCAATTGTACCATGAAAATGGGCATTAATAAACGGAATTAGATCATTAAGTAGCGTGGTACATTTTGCACCATTTTTGAATTCACTAAATTATTTATCCTTTAATTTATTTAATTGTTTAATCAACTTAAATTACTAGCTTCGTTATTTTTATTTCTAATAATACATTACATAATTGGAAGTATTCTTAGCAGTGTATTTGTACTTTATCTTTTAACTTTTATTTATTTACTTTGTCACTGATCAGTTTTTAATAACTCTAAACTTATGAGTGATTGATTTATTCATTCTATAAAAGATTCTTAAAGAATGAGTAAAAAAGTTTTTAAAAATTGATAAATTAGATAAACTTTAAAGGCGAAAAACAAATAAACTAGTTATTATGTTCTATTTCACTGAATGCATTGTGCATCACACAGCTTTGGAGTGGGCAGATTTAAATAAATGTGACGCTTTTGTTGAGAAAATAAAAAGTTATGCAAGAATTTATATTTTTTTTCCTTGTACTAAGTTTTTTTCTCGATGTGGCTAACTAGTACAAGGATAAAAAGGATTTTTTAATGAGTTGACAATTTCGAAATACCGCAATAATTTAAGTATTAATTAACCTTCGAATGTGTTTATTAGAGGGAAAATAAAAACATAAAATAACTGCTTAATGGTACTTTATATAAAACGTGTTCATTAACCCAAGGAATTTATTTAATCAACTAAATTTCCTGACCTATTGTTTATACTTAAAATACATATTAGACAGAAGTTGGATTGTTTTACGAATAAAAAAATTGTATTTATAATTCATCATTTATTCATAATAGTTATGAATATTAAAAGGGAAAGGTTTTTTAAAATTTCAAAAAATTTGGGTTGGTATATTTTCGGGACACTGTATTTGATTATTCTTTTAGATTTCTAGATGCATCTGCCTTTTATCACGATGATCAATTGGAAGGTTTGGTGCGAATAACACGCATGATGTTACATTATAAATATCCTCGTTATCTAGAAGACGGTGCCCTTGCACTAACCACTGCGTTACCAACAATCTACAGTAGTATAGCAAGTCCTTTAGGCATTGTTCAACATTTGTGTAAACAATTAGGTTTACCTTTAGCTTCAGTTAGACCTGTTCCTGTAAATACACATTTCGGTAAGTAAAAATAAAAATAGAGGGCGCTCAAATGGTTCTGTATTCAATTAGGGATTTTTTTAATGATGGCTAGAAATTTTTTTTTGTTTTTTTCAGGGTCACAATACACAATTGATGTATCGGCTTTAGAAAGAATGTTAACAGAAGATGTGTCTGCTGGTCGGACACCGTTAGTGGTAGTTGCTGATGCAGGAACCCCAGTTGCTGGGCATGTGGACAATTTAACGAGGATCCAAGAACTTTGTAAAAATCATGATGTATGGTTGCATTTGAGGGGCCATTCTTTGGCGGCTCTGGCGTTACCAGGACACCAAACTAATAGTCATGTATGATTTATAATAACCATTTTGTTACATATTACCTTCATAAAAAGCTACGTTTTTGTTATTTTTTATTGTAATAATGTATGATTATTTTTTATTCAATATGAAATATATGTTTGTTGTTGTTTCAGAAACCACCTATAGCTGATAGTTTTACGCTATCATTAGGTATGTGGTTGGGAATACCAGGATTGCCAATGGTTGTATCCTTTTTGGTCCTTTTTCTTTGTTTGATATTTTCATTTCTTTATTTAAAACCTGACAAAATGGAGAAAAAGGTCGAGCGTGTATTAGTGTACACGCGTAAGAAGTGAAACTTCTTTAGATTGTATGTTGTAGTAATATTAAAAAAAAATTGGTTAAATTATTACATTAACTAATTATTAAACACTAGAAAAATACAACTTTATTTCGAGCGGACGAATGCGGAATATTGGTTTAGTTTTGTTAAAAATCTTTACCTTTGCACCATACAAAACTAGACATTACATTTCATGGTTTGGTTTGCAATCATTCTAATTAAAAAGAAAGTTTTAATAACACGTAATATGTATTAAACTACTTAGATAATTTACAATTTTGAAAATTCTCTAGTAAGATTTATTTAACAGTGAAATTTTCAAAATTTGTTTCATTCTAATTGTGATTATTTGTGTTTTATCAAATAATAACGGTAAATATTCGTAATTTTTCCCCTAATACCAATGAACAGGACTAATCAAGCAACTTAACGGGGTGAAAAGTGTTTTTTTATCAATAATCAACACCGAATTTTCGCTTTTGGTGTAAAGTTTCCTCATATTACAATAAAATACAAAAATGCACAATACTTACTCGTTACTTGAAGCTTTATACCAACAGCGAAACGTCAGTGTTGATTATTGATAAATAAAACACTTTTCACCCTTTTAAGTTGCTTGATTAGTCCTGTTTATTAATAACAGTAAATATTATAAATTATAAAACAATTCAAAATCTACTTCTTCCATTGTTATTTTGAAGTTGATTGTAGATTCCTTATCTATAAATTTAGACTTTGTATAGGTTGTGGGAACCGAAAAGTGCTAGTTCCCCGAATCAGTTACGCAGTCGACAAGTAGNAAAGAGACAGGTGTGCGCGGGCGCAGCCTAAATCTTACCCAGGGTGTTGTCGAGAGTACCGAAAACATTTACAAATACCACATGCAGATACCTAGCGGTGCAAGCTCAACTGGTTCAAAAGTAACGCCGCCTCCATCTATACAAGTTCCAGTTGGTAATAGTCACTCAAGAACGAGCAGTTATGGATCAAGTCAGGCTAGTTTAAAATCGAACGAGAGGGGGAGAATAGAAACTACTCAAGAAGTTAAAAGCAATAATGTTAATGGATTGGTTGAATCAGAGAGTGATAAAGAGGTTGGTGGAAATCGGAAAATTAACGAGGTAAAGATGGAAACTGTAAACGAAAAGAAAGGTACGAGCAAAAATGGGGATGGTGATGCGAATAGGAGAGAAAGTCTGAAGGAAAAACGATAAAATATTGATAAATATCGAATTGGGTATAATTCTTCGTAAAGAAAATGGTTACCAATTACGACTACAAATTGTAATACAATAGTTATTGAAGCAAATGATGAAGTTATATCGTATATTAAAATTTCATTTGCTTCAAATATTATTTTTGTATTTCTGACGGATGAATCGACTTAACCAAAGGGCAAGTTGCAGATATAGTGCCTCACGTTGGAAATATGTAAAATTTAATTCGAACTGATATGCAATAGTTTTCAGCAAATAATTTGCAGTTAAGTATTTTTCTATGCTGACTGAACAAGTCAAAAGATCCGTTTATTTTGCTATTTGGGTACGTGTACGGATGAGTGAAAATAACTTCAATATTTTTTTTAAGTTAATATACCTAATCCTTTTACCTATTAATTTTTTTTATTATATTTTATTATTATTCATTCACTTGCAGCATCTTCTGGCCTGTAGTTATTCATGATCGTTTTTATCTAATCAGTAATTTGATGTTTAAGTCCCTGTATCAACTAAAATAACTAGGATTTACTATCATTTCCCATTCCTATTTATTTTTTTATTCCATCACCTATTCAACTCTTCCTTAATTTTCCGCTCTCTGAAAGGGAGATAAACTCCCGTATTAATTGACTAATTTCTGTCACGTCTATCTCATGACTTTTCATAAATTTCAACTCCATTTTAATGGCTTATTGTTTAAAAATGTTTTCATTTCTTTTAGCACATCTATACACATATAATTTTTGGTTTGTAGTTTCCCTTCAGCATATTTACTAGTCCAAAAAAGCAATTTTTACAAAACTATTTAAATAAAATTAGAATATACATTTTATTGTATGTCAGGAGGTATATTTAAAATATGAATAAAAGTAGGCATTTTATTATTAAGCTACAAGAGTAGTGCACAGTTTGATTTTTCATTCAATCTAACAATCATCAAAGAACATCTACATCAAAAAATGTTTTATTTCAGTATTGTTTAATATTCTACACTATTTTTATTTTTTTTTTGCGATTTAAATTTTTAAATATCTTAATTTATTGTTGTGATTTGTTATTTCAGAGTCAGAAACCTGGTGGAGAAACTGGCACTTACACTGTTTCTGAATTGATATCAAAACCAGTTAGCATTCCAGTAAGTTAGAAAATAGACTTTTAGGTAAATTGTATAATGAATTTCAATTTCAGCTCCTTTTTGAAACAACCGCAACTTGCGTGGTTTTTCAGTTTATTCCAGAATTAAAAGAGGGTGAAATCTTGACTAGAGTACCTTCATATTACGACAAATTGAATACTTGGTTAGGGCAAATATTACAGTTGGAAGCTCCACAGGTATAAGATTGTTTATAAGAAATTGACTTGTTTTAATTAGATGTATTTCATTAGGTCCCAATAGACATTTGTGAACTTGAAAATGTAGGCGTTGTTCTTAGGTACTGTCCCTTGGAAAATTTAACAGGTCAGTTACCTACAAGCAAGGACATACAGACGTTTATTGAGTATTTGGAGCAACAAATCATCATATTGATAGCTACTGTTCAGCATAAAGAAACTTTTGTAAATTTAGTTCGAAGTTCTCCTGTGTTGCGGTTAGTTGAATTACCAGATTGGGCAGGTGCGTAATTATTATATTTTATTCTATTTTCGTGCTTGATTATTTTAATGTTTCGTTTAGGTTTGGGAGGAGTTAGATACGTCCCAGAAGGTTGGGAGCAACTGTTGACTGATCAAGCTAAAGAAGAGCTGAATGCTCTAAATACCACACTAGTTGATGCCTTGCGTTCTACAGATTCTGCTTTTTCTCTTGGAGAAGGAAACGATGGTCTTATATGCGTAAGATTTGGTATGCTTACTGCCCAGTCTGATGTAGAGGAACTTCTAAACCTTGTCATAAGAGTTGGACAATCGGTGGAAGAAAATTCACGAGTGTTAGATTCTATGAGTGAAATTGTTAGGAAAGGTAAATACAATAAATGTTTTACTAATGGCTAGTCCTTTTAAGAAGAATGCCTTTTTTCATATGGTATACACCATTATTTAGAGTTGTATAATATAATTACAATGATGCAGAGTGTACATTTTTTGTTTTTTATTATCGTTTTATGTTATTTTATAATGAACTCTCTATCATAGGTATTGAAACGGCAACGTTAGACCTTCAGAAAGAAAATGAGGAACGTATTTGGCAAGAAGGTATTCTTCGACAGGTTCCTGTAGTAGGTACGTTTGTTAACTGGTGGTCACCAAAATCTAAAGAGACAGGTGTGCGCGGGCGCAGCCTAAATCTTACCCAGGGTGTTGTCGAGAGTACCGAAAACATTTACAAATACCACATGCAGATACCTAGCGGTGCAAGCTCAACTGGTTCAAAAGTAACGCCGCCTCCATCTATACAAGTTCCAGTTGGTAATAGTCACTCAAGAACGAGCAGTTATGGATCAAGTCAGGCTAGTTTAAAATCGAACGAGAGGGGGAGAATAGAAACTACTCAAGAAGTTAAAAGCAATAATGTTAATGGATTGGTTGAATCAGAGAGTGATAAAGAGGTTGGTGGAAATCGGAAAATTAACGAGGTAAAGATGGAAACTGTAAACGAAAAGAAAGGTACGAGCAAAAATGGGGATGGTGATGCGAATAGGAGAGAAAGTCTGAAGGAAAAACGATAAAATATTGATAAATATCGAATTGGGTATAATTCTTCGTAAAGAAAATGGTTACCAATTACGACTACAAATTGTAATACAATAGTTATTGAAGCAAATGATGAAGTTATATCGTATATTAAAATTTCATTTGCTTCAAATATTATTTTTGTATTTCTGACGGATGAATCGACTTAACCAAAGGGCAAGTTGCAGATATAGTGCCTCACGTTGGAAATATGTAAAATTTAATTCGAACTGATATGCAATAGTTTTCAGCAAATAATTTGCAGTTAAGTATTTTTCTATGCTGACTGAACAAGTCAAAAGATCCGTTTATTTTGCTATTTGGGTACGTGTACGGATGAGTGAAAATAACTTCAATATTTTTTTTAAGTTAATATATCCATGTATATTTTCTTCCACTACTTATTTTTGATATATAATAATAATAAGCTTTCGTTGAAAAATATTTAGAGAAAAATATACTTTAAATAAGAGAGTTTTCTCTTTTTGCCTAAATAAATAACTTATTCTTTTGAAGAAAAGTATGTACCGTGTCTCATAATGATCGTAAAGGAGAAATCCAGATAAGGTTGAAAAGGAAATTTGAAAATTTAAGAAAAATAATTACCACTGTCTTATGCTTAAAAAGTTTGTAATACTTTGGCCTTTCGTAGGTAAACCCAAAATCAAACCATTGACTTGTATATGGTATTATTATGAAACTTGCTTTTTAATTTCTTTTTCTTGAAAAAATAAACGATTGTATGAGAACATAGGCTTTNCCTTCTTTTTGCACAGCCAGTAGTTCATAGTCGGAACGCATAGTGAAATTACAATTTGGGCTAAATAACAAAATTTATTTTCAAAGGTTCGGCAACAGTTTTTTAAACAATTTTAATTAAATATGGTACTTGTTAAGTTTTTTTTAAGACAATTTTTGCAATAGAATATATAATAATAACTTCAGGGGAATAACGAAGGTTAATGTATATACATTTAAAACATTTAAATGTGCTTTTGCTATTAACAGGTCTTGATAAAAAGAAAGAAAGAAAGAAACCGTACATTTACATTATTTCATGTTTGATTTAAATTCTATAGGAAAAGTTCTACAGCTTTGCTTTGTATGCAATTAATTTTTAGTGAAAGTAAATAGTAAATTATATTAATCTGGCGCTTTAATATACCGATACTTTTTGTTACTACACTAGCTTTTTCTATGTGAAACTAAAAGATAGACTGACTGGAGAGTATTGTAGCTTTTGAACGACAGCAGTAATATATGTAGTTTAATTTCAGCTGCAGTTGCTGTGAAAAAATAGTTTTGAATAATTGCAATCACTAAAATGGATTTAGTTATTTAAAAACTGGTGCAAATCGTAATCTGTAGCCTTATATAATTTTCGTACTTGGTAGTGTAATAGTTTACAATAATTTATAATTTTTATTGCAATTACTAGTTTTGTTTACATTCTGAAGTATTTGTTATTGAGACCAGTAAATGAAAATCAAAAATTACCACCGGATGTTAAAAAATTGCGAATTTATTTTCCTCAACGATGTTAGAGTTGAGAGTTAAATCTTGAGAGACTAAGAAAAAAATTGTATTGTATAGTTACACCTACTTTCTCTTTTATCCTTGCCCCTATCACTTTAATATACTCATAGTTTTTTTCACAAAAGTGTCTTAATATTTCAATTATCTTCTCTTGCATCATCCTCTAGCCTGTCACCACTATTTTTATTGCATTATTATGTATCCCTATTGCTTCTTTGCAGCACAACAAATGTGCACTCTCGCTTCACATATTATATAAACTAATTTATTATTTATTATTCTGGGTCATATATCTTTATGGTGTCTATTCTTGATACAACTGTTTAAATACACTGTCCTCTTTAAATCGGGTGAATCCTTACATAAATTATTACAAGTAGAATTTGCTATTGCCTTTTCAGTGGATTTAATAATTTAAGAGTTTGTTCATAATTTTTTTTCAATTGTAAGGAGTTTTTTTAATTTTTATTCCATGCTATATTAGAACGGAGAATAGAATAATATCAATATTTTTGAATATTCATTTTCTTTTATACTTCAAGGGTAAACTATTTTAAAGAGGAAAATATCTTTGAATCAATATTTTAATGCTTTTTTACTTTAGGCATTTATTTGGTTATTATAGATATTTACTGGTCTGTATTTTTGTAAGTATTCTTTTAAAACTTAAATTTTAGATCTCTTTTTTGGTATATAATTATATAATTCCATTAAAAAGTTCTCAAAACCATATCGTTTTGTAAAGCTTTTTCGTTTTCTTTATATATTTATTTTCAGTAAGCGTAATAAAATGTTTATGTAAAAATATTTTATTGTAAATATGTAAGTTAGTATTATTATTGTTATATTTGTTATAAGTTGTGTAAAATAGCCGAGTTGTTTGTTAAGAGATATTTATTTTTCTTTCTTTTGTGGTGATGTTCCCTACTACAATACACGCTCGTTAAATGAAATAGCTCGTGGAAATGTTTGTCATAACTTTGTATTTTACCAAAGAATCCTGAGTTTTATTAATAATATACAAAT